CAGTAGCAATAAAGATGTTTGTCTCGTGATAACATATGAACTCTCAACACGAACTACCTCAGTCAGATGGTAAACCAAGGGCTGCGGAGCTACATGCAACTAACAAATATATGCACATAGGAGCTAAATTTCAAGAAGCAAATACTCTTCTGGAACTGCTTTATCCCCACATCGATGTTCATAACGTAAAAGTACTATACAATGACTACTCTGATCGGGAGGGGGTCCTAGAAACCAGGTTTCTGAGTCCACATTCCCTGCCCAGGCAGGGTAGGGAGACTAGGCACAAGACAAGACCGATCTGGCAAGATTGCATCAGGCTTGATCTGGAGATCGACATACCTCGAACGAAACGGAGATATCTCTCCAAAAATCTTGTGACGCCGGATAGAAGACTAAAGAAGAACTGGGTTGGATTACACCGTAGGCATGAGGAAGAGTTCGCAAAATTGAAAAACGATGTGATTCTATCACTGCCTCACGCGATGCGATTCTATCACTGCCTCACGCGATGTGATCCCATCATAAACTCACGCGATGTAACTATGCTAAAAAGGATGCAAGAAGCCCAGTCTCAGAGTAACGACGAATTTTGCTGAAATCCAAAGTGCGGACGCACCTCCAGATCTGGCGTCTGGCAAGCTGCAGGCGCACAGCCGAAGCACCAGGCTAATGCTGGGCACAGGATCTTTAGAGAGGCTGAAAACATTGCAAGTGCGGAATACAGCCCTTTTAAATTAAGTGAAATTAACATTCAATCCAACGGAGCCATCAGCACAAAATATGCTGTTCCGATAATAGTCGTTCAGCTGAAGTCAGGCTAAACTCTTCCTGAAAGACAAGCAAGCCTCAATGAAGTAATGAACTACACTAACCAATAGATAAAAATGACAAAGTACTTTATGAAAACATTTAGAATGTTTAAGCAGAAGAACGATCAAAGATTTACTGTCTGTATTGCTTAAGCAATAGTGCACTTATTATCAAAAAGCTTAACTTTAGATTTACAATCTAATCACTACTGCTGAGTATATTTGCAAGTTAGTATAGAGAACGGCTTATTAGAGGAACATCGGCTAAGACACAAGAGTCGTTCGAACCTCTGATGCTGGTCCCAAGTGCTGAAAAAAGCCTGCAATCTCATAATTCTATAAGACTTACTGAAAAAACGAATTGTTGGACACAGCAATCTCTTCCAAATGAGTCTGTCCCACCAAGACTACGGTGAGTACCCTCAGCCAGCTGCTGTTCAGCCAGACCGGAGGGTCTGTGGTCACTCATTCATTTAGGGAACATCCATCACTTTGTGAAAACTAACTGATTCACCCGCAATTGACGGACCTGGCTCTGCTTACATACCTTTAAGCAGAAGAATAATCGTGGATAGCAAACATATAGCCAGTTTTTACTGATACAACTCAATCAATTTTGAATGCACCCCATGACTTGACTATTATTCTTGCCTACCCGTGCTCGTTAAAATAAAAGATATATGTTTGCTTGCTTGCCGTTGGAATAGCATGTCTGCAGATAAGTAATGAAACAAATCCTCGTCGATATTTCTGAATCGCTTTGGCAAACTTACTTTAGGATTGCAGGATACAAAACTAAAACGAAATAAGGCTGGCTTTTTATTGAAGCCGGCTTAAGACATCCCTAACTTCATTATCAGTAAAAAAAAAGGCAATCGTTACTTTGCATCGAAACTGGTGAACCATTACATCGTACGTTTGGCAACAATATAGTCATCCTAAAGACTAGACCTAAGCCAACCAATCCAGTCTCTTGTTCCCACCATGCTCTATGAATTCCAAAAAAACTAGCTTAGCAAAAAGCGGCAACTCTTGTTAAGCTGCTTTTGACGGATAGGTCTAGGATGACGACGCAAGGGATAGCCCACGCACAGCACCCCAGCTTAAATTTTCCGGAAAGATTCACGTTTTTACTTCAAAACTAGCGATAATTTTCTAACATACCCATTACGTATGTATAAGGTGTCAGCAGCTAAGACGTGCCCTTGAGTATTCAATCCGACCTCATAATAGTCTTTTTCAAAAATTGTATTGCCCACTAAGCTGTAATTGAAAATTGCCTAAGTTCCATGAGTAGAGTATCGGTGGTTTCCACTCGATGACCTCATATATTGAAGAACCATTTGTTTAGTGTTGTTGCCTGGGTTGAATTATAACTGCCCAGAAAAAGTAACTGACAGCTAAAGATTCGTAGATCCAAGCAGGTTACAAGGACGAATGTAAAAACATAACGACAATATAACTGCTTAGACTTGTAATGCACGAGATGCATTAAAATTAAGTGGAAGCCATTTAAAGTGATCCGAAAAGAGGTTACAGTGTATGACGATGCCAACAAGAGCGATTTACCTCAAATTAACCATCGAAGTGGTGAAAAAAATCGGAATACAACTTTACAAGAAAGATCCTAGCAAGATAAAACGTTCATAAGCAACAAAGGCACCGGTTTGTACAAAGGAAGGTTGGAGATGGCAGCACAATAAAAAATACGAATGAATCCATTTATCCAATTAACTAAAACATATTTTAAGAATTAACCCGCCTCAAGATGTGTCAAGTAGGATAAGGAAAATTCCAGCTTGCCAACTTTATGCCACAATCGAATGCATCAAGACCAGAATTGTAACAGCCTTCTGGTCTTGATACCTTTTCATCGCGAACAAGTAACTTAACCTCGTTCCTGCAACTCGTATTGCCAGGCGTCCCAGATAAGGACAATTCCTCATGAGTCCTTAACCGGAGGCAGGCTAGTTCCCAACGCCGGATCACAGATCTGGCACACTCAAAGACATTCCCAGTGAGCCTTACTAGCAGTAAACGAGAGAGCACAAGGTAGGTGGAGTCCCATTATAGGCCAACTATCTACTGGACAGCTGCATCTCCACCGTCCTGGCACACTAGCCAATCGGAATTCCGCACAACAGACCGCCTGCCGGAAACGCCTCTAAACTGCTTTTTTAGAGCTACTCCAGAGGTTCGCCTGTAAGAGGACATTTAGCTAAGATAACCCGCGCTCATGGCTGGTTTCATAGCCATCAGTCTGGTAAAATTGTTTATCCAATACCCACTGTCAACACTGACTACGGCCCAAGCGAGAAGTTTCGGAATATAATAATCCCAATCCGAAGTAGTCACGAATACTACAGCAAAGCCAAGATGAGTATATATCTAGATCGCTCTGACAAGTAGACGAGTTACGAAGATGAGATCAAACCATTATTTACAACTATCCTCCAATAATCTAAAGCATCTTTCAAGTTTCTTGAAATTTGCAACTAGCGATAATTTGCCTGAGTCATTAGGAACTAGATTGAACATACACATTTCATAAGATAGACATAACACGACAGCGCGCACTAACCGTGCACAGCGAAAAACATGCTCACAGGAAGGAAGATAAAACGCGTGATAAGATTTAGATTTGAATTACAATAAAGAGGGAAATATACAGGAATAACTGATGGAAAAGAATTCACTGGTAATAAAGCTCCAGATTCATACCATCATGAATTTCATAATCGGATAAGCTAACATGATCTTTAAATATCGTATACCACTTTTTAAGGACAATCTTTTCGCACCGGGTTCCAGTCTGGGCTGCAATCAATTTCTTCAGATCACCGACTAAATCGTCCGAATTGCACTTTACACGTACTTTCTTCCCTAAACGATCGTTGCAGACCACCTCAATCA